TGCGGTGTGGAGTCGATAGGCATCTCGGCCTGGCTCCTTTCTTTGTTTAGCTTAATCGTTCGTGTCCTGCTTTTTCTTTCAGGCTGATGAACGTCGCCTAGGGTCGTTACCGCCTGAATGGGTAGTTACTGCTGGGTTTGGGGAAATTCTTCGGCCACACTATATTTTATATACTTTTTACATTGTTACAAATCTAGTTATATACTTATTTATTCTTTCACGAATTTTTATCCAAGGTTACATTTATCACATGTGGACTGTTAGTTACATATCTTGTTTCTTTGAAAAATCTTATTCCACTGTTAGAATCTTCATGGAACTAGTTTTTAGAAGTCAGTAGTAAGTTGTAACAGTATTACAGATTCATGCTACCTTTATTAATAAAGACTCTTGTCCCACTTTACCCTCCTGCTGCCCATACAAGTGAACCTCATCACAGCACTCTTCACACATACTTTACTTTGGAAATGGCTTAGTGCTACAGTGTGTGGAAAAAAAGAGTCTTCTTTAGAATTACAAGTATTTTGCGTCGTCTACTGTTGTGGCGACGTGCCTCGAGGAAGACAAAGAGTTACATTGTCCCACCCCAAACCCCTTATGAAGAGCAGCCCAGGTGTTCTGATTGGGTTTGAGTCCCTGGGGGTTTCTCCCTTGCTGTGTTTCTAATGGTCCCTGACCCTGAACTCCATCCTCAAGGGTGGAGACCCTCAAGAGTTCTGTCCCTCAAAAACCCCTGCTGTGCCTCTGTTGGGAGCTCTCTGTTCTGGATCTGAGTTTGTTCCCCTGCTGAATAAATGGTTTCATGAACAGAGACCCGTCTCGTTGGTGCTCCATGCTGGTCCCCAGAACCCTGCAGCTTCCCTGGACAAGATCCTGAGGTTGTGGACTGCAACATACTGTTTTGTCTCTTCTCTGGTTCTTTCCCTCCAATTTCCGTATTCTCTCCTTGTTTCTCAGGTTATCAACAGGTTTCCCAATTTTCTTCAAATCAGTCAGGGCCTACTCATAACATTCTGTAACATTCAACTTCAGCAATTGTTGCAGTGTGTTTCTTGTTAATGGTATGTTCTGTTATTACCCAAGTTGATGGTTTGGTCCAAATGCGACCCTCCCACCCCACGTTGTCAATCTACCCTGAGTCTCCTGTCAATCCTACCTTAGACCCACCGCATGCTTGGAATTCTTCTTCAGAAATCCCCTAAACTTCAACACTTGATTAGTCCATGTGATCCAACTTTCCCCCCTTACCTCCCTCATTGGATAATGATTTTGTGAACCCTGCCTTTTACCCTCCCCAGGACATCTCTGATTAGCTGATGCTTTGTACCCTCCCTTTGAACCACCTCTCTATTTCAGCTGTTCCACACTCGCATTTTCTGTCTTTTGCCCCCAAGATTCCCCAGAGCAATAAATCCTTTATTATCCCATGTAAAAGACCTCCCTCTCATCCTTGCCTCCTCAGAGCTCAGACTGACAGCCAAAAAGCCGTAGAGCAAGTGCTCTAGTCACACCTCGGGTCATCCTGCTCCTGGGGTGTGACCCACTCCTGTCACAGGCCTAAGTGATAGAGCCAGATAAGCTCTGGCAAGATGCCATAAGCAATTATCATTAAGTAACATCCCAGGATTTAGTACTGCATTCAGTGCTGCACAAACAGTTCTGCATTTTTATAGCCATACTGCATTCAGTGACAAATGTTTGAGCTTTGTCTTGTTGTACAAGAGGAATTATTTATTACTAGTCTAGCTTTGGAGAATGACACATGGCACTTTCCTTAACACTTAGCAGGCAGGGAAGAGCTTTTTCTGTAGTAGTTGCACAAGTTAGCATCTGCATTTTGCAACTGGAAGTCATGTAGGTGTAAACAAGACACAGACCATTAAATTTTTGAATCACAGAATGGTTTGGGTCAGATTTAAGTCTGGCATGTATTGTCATGGCAGCCCCACTGCCAAGGGCAAGGACATAGTTCACTAGTGTCTCCATGCCAGTGGTTTTTCTCACCCAGGCTGGCTCCTGGCACAGCAATAAGAGTGAGCCACCCCCAGAGAGACAGGCAGCCCAGGGTGCAGCTTGCAGGGAGAAATGTGGTCAAGGCACCACACTCTACGGCTTTTGGATGGTAAGACACGCCGAGGATCAGAGTAAAAGACGGAGAGGGATCTTTGATGTGAAGCCCAGAGTGTTTATTTCCTAGGGGGTCAGGAACCAAAGACCAAGAATAGGGTGAAACAGTAGTTTATAAACATGGGAGGATTAGAGGGAGGATACAATGTGGCAACCAACCAGGGAATCTTAGGGGAGGGATACAAAGTGGGGTACGCATTTTACAAACCAATAGGAGAACACAGTGGGAGGGTACAGATCAAACAAGCCAATGGAGTCCCTGGCACAGGGAGATTGACAGTGAACTTTATAGTAACAAAGGGTAGGTGCCAGTTTGGATTGACAGGGAAGGTCCTGGAATAAGGGGTTGGGTTACACTGATGGACAATTGGGAAATGGAGACAATTGGTTCAAGGGGAGACTGACACTGAACATTTTGGAACATGGGGAAGGGTTTTGGGATAAGTGACAGTGGGAAGAGGTGGGGACAGCTAGGAAGGAACCACTCTTATTTGGGGGGAGTAACCTGGAGCAAAACAGCTGCAAAACAATCCATAATATTGACAAATAACAAAATGCACTACTACACACTTAGGTCAAGGTACTCAAAGCCCCGTTCAACCTGACCTTGAACACTTCCATGAATGGGGCATCCAAAACTTATTGTTATCCAAAACCTATTTCCAAGCTATTTATTTTCTTAAATTCTATTCAGATTTTCTTGCATTTAAGAGCTAAACATTGTTGGCAATATTTCTGTACATTCAGTCCAATATTGAAGTAGAAAAAAATCCAGTATTTCCTCAGTTTTAAGAGAAGTTATTTTAAAGCTGTAATATAACAAGAATGAGACCTGTACTTTGTTGTATTTTCTCCTATTACATAGAACTGAAATTGGAAATCTGATTCATCACCAGGAAGAAAATATTTGTTTGCTAATAATTACACAGTATTGGTATTCACCACAGTGGCTAAGGAAAATTGCCTTCTCTCCCTGTTTTCAGTCTGTGTTACCATTGTCTATATAGTACCTAAAGCAAAACCCCCAAAAAATCCACTAGGAATTGGCACTGTAACAAAATCCAGTAAAGCAGTATAGAATTGTTTTAAATTATTTGATTACTATTTTTATTCATTGCTTAAAGTACACTGAGCAGACTGACTGGGAGTTCTCTGATACTTCAAAAATTACTTTTTCTTGTAATTACTAAAGACATGAACTTTATTAACAGCTGTTCTGACTTGAATTCCTCAGAAGTCAACTTCTGCTTTCTCTTAACTGGATAATAACACCAACACTGTTATCTAAAATGAAATTTGCCAGCAGAAAAATAACTAAAAGTTACAGCTTCTCTGAGTACCTGATATAGGTAGGCAACATGGTTTTACAGTATCAAGAACTTGCAGCATGAATATAATAAGAAGTTATCAGCACCTCACATTTTGCCCTTTCTATTCAAAAAGTTCACCATCTACAAAAACATCGGAGGTACTTGCTTGTTACTTTCATCTAAGAAGGTGCTGTTAATACAAGGCTCATCATTCTAACTTGTCATGTATCCTAGTTAGCAGTCTAAAAACCACTGAACCATGACAAATATGAAATTATTCATATATTGAAAAACAGGAACTATGCTAGTACAACACACAAAAGACATTCAATAAATTTGACTGCAATATACAAATAGGGATTTTATTATTTCTAAAGCTCAGTAACAAATTATGGTTTTATTGCATTGTATAGCAACAGGTTTCATAATATACTAAAAAGAAAAATAACTAAATGCAGAGTATTTTTTATAAAACTTGCAAATACATGCATTGGAAAAAGTTGGAAATTCATAGGGGTCTTATCCCTTCTTCCCACTCTTACAATTTGCCAAGGATAGGTGCTTCCCCACATATCCTAAACTACTTGCTTTTTTCTATATTAGATACAGAATAATCTTTCCCATGCTCATTTATAATCCAGTCTCTAGAATATTCACGTTCACAATTTGATAGTGTATTTTATAGTAATGAATGTGTAGGCTCATTATCTTGCCTAGAGGGGAAGGGCTGAACCCTAATTCACTCTGGGAGCAGAGGTATGTGATCAGCATCTCTCTGTAGGAAGACATGGCACTGAGTGGAAAGCCTCTGTTGGAAGGAAGAACCAGTCTTGCTGAGCCTTAAAAAGAAACAGCAACAGGCCAAGAAGGCTATGCTGTGCATGTGAGGTATTGTGGTGGCACTGAGAGGTGTGAAACAACAGAAACAGTGATGAAACTGAACCTTCTTTTCTTCTCCATGTGAATAGCTCTGTTGTACATCTGGATTCTGGCAAGAAGGACATGGAACAATTAAAAACTTATATTAACAGTTGGTTGTTGTTTTTTGTTTGTTCAGTTGGTTGCAGGTTTTTTTATGTCAAAGCACAGAGTCACAATAAAGACCACTTCTTTTTTCTCCTTCAGTTGTGTAAATGTTCTCTTTAGGCTTTAGTAAGTAAGTAGCTAAAGTAAGTTAGTAACTGGAACTGTGGCATTCTTCATTGACAATCTCCCAGAAACTTTTAAAAAAACAAATGCATAGCATATAACAAAGGTGTTAGTCACAACAGCATACAGATATTTTCAGACAGCAAAACTCCTTTGTCTTAACCATAACAGTTTGAAGGCTGGAGATGCTGAAATTATGTTAGAATCCAGAGAAAACAGAACAATAATTTAAAGCACTGGCACACCACTGCTACAGCTATAAACAAATATCTCTCATTTGAAATGGGGGTAGAGGTAGAATATATTCCTGAAGAACAGTTAACTCAGTAAAAATACAATGTTTTACAGCTATTTGACATAGTTCTGTGTGTTCACCACTCCTCAAATGGTCTACTGACAATTGCATAAATATTATCAGATAATATGCTTACATTTAGTGGATGACAATGATTGTTCAGATGACTCTCCAAGAAGACCCTTCAATTTCTTCTTCAGCTCTCTGCTGGTTTTCTTATAGAAAAATAAATCTTTTTCCAGTTGCTGGATTTTTACTTCATACCCTTTCAGGGTTTCTGCGATACCTTCACTATTTTTTTCTAGGAGAAATAAAACTAGTTTAAGAACCAAGCATCTGTGTCAAAAATCAAGATGCCCAACTAGACAGAGTATCTTGATGGCAGTTTGCTTGCAATGTGCGTGTTTTAACTAACATGAAATAAGATCAAAAAGGCTGTGCCAACCCCACCTTTTAGTTGTAATAGTATTTAGAAGATCAACAGAACCGATATCTTATGACTCTTCATTATCAGTATATTCAATATAAAAATACAACAATTCTGACCTCTTTAAAAAAATACCCAATTTTGCATTCATACAGACACCATGTGTCTGTTCCTTGACATCTTACATAGCGATAGAATTAGTGACAACCAAATATATATCTCTGAACCTTATTTTTTTTTTTTTTTCATATGGAATACAGTATTTCCATTAATGACCGAAGAAAATACTTGGTGTATAATTCCCCTCCAAGAAGAAAATACCTTTGAAATGATTCAATATAAGCTGTATTTTTTTCTCATGTTCTTGGCGCTGGTGAGTCAGCTGCCTGTCACACTGCAACTTGATGTGTTCAAGTGCAGATTCTAATTCACGCATCATGTTTTTCTGGTGTATGGACTTCATTTCCTGTTCTTCAATCTGCACTTGTAATTTTCGTTCAGACTCACGTAGGCCAACAATCTTAGAAAGAAACACACTTTTTTTCATTTGTCAAAACATTTTAAGAAGCTCTTTTACCCTTCAGCCTAACAGATTAAAACATACAAAAGCACTGGATCTCTACCATTAAGCTTATACTGGAAATAGACTTCCTACTGCTACAAGTTGTCACTTCAGGACTGGTTACATTTTGATCACATGGACTAGTAGATTTTTTTTTAATATCCTGTGCAAAATTTAAAGTGAAAGAACATTGCTTTCCAGATTCTGAAAAACTTCCAACTTGCATCCCACAGACAACTTTTTTACAAAATTACCAAAGGTTCATCCAAGGTCACAAAGACACCCTGTCATAATGCATTTAATATTTATGTTTCCAAATGTCAATATGATTTCTAAGCATGTAGCTGCACACACTGCAGACAGCTTATGCAAAATCAGTTTGTACTGGTGTCATGGTTTGACACTGGCTAAAAGCCAGGCACTCATGAAAAACTATTCACTTATTTTCCCCTGCTATAGTTTAGCAGAGGAGGAGGAAAGAAAAACTAAAGGCCTTGTGAGTTAAGGACTGGGAGGAAACACTTTAAGGGCAAAACAGGCTCAAATTTAAATGGTATAATGAAAAACTTATTTTAATAATTAAAAAAGGATAATGAAAACTAAAAGAAAACCTTTTGAACATCCTTTTCCACCCCCCCTCCAGCCCTCCTTCCTTCCACTGACAGCAGGTTGTGAGAGCTTTCCTCAGTTTTTTCACTTGAAATCTTTCTTCAGTTCACTTAAGATGATTTTCTTTTGCTGTGCCATGGGACACTGTTCTCTGCATTCTAGCATGGTTCTAATTTTCAGGAGTAGAAGTCCTGCCTGACCTGCTGTAACTTGAGTCCCTCTAAAGGACAATGCAATCTTCCCAAAACTGCATAGCATGGGTGATTTTAGTTCATGGGGTGTAGTCTTCTAAGGATAAGCTGTTCTAGTTTGGAAACAACGGCTCTCTATCTTCTCTCTCTGTTCAAGCTTCTCACTAAACTACAGCTTTTCAGCATCCACTCGCTCCAGCATGAGCACTTTTTCTCACAGGCTGCAAGGGGACCTCTGCATCCCCCCATGCACTTCATGAATTACAGTGAAACAGGTTATTGCATTTTAAGTCCTCACCACGGTGTGTAGAAGAATCTCAGCATAGAAGAATCTCAGCTCTGATGTTTGGAGCACTTCTCCTTCCTTTCACTGACCTTAGTGTTGCCATGTTTTCCTCATGTGTCTTCACCTCTTTTTTCTGACTCAGAAGAAAATTGTCTGTAGGTTTGTTTGTTCTCAAGTTCTATCCGTTAAAAAGTTCTTATAGGGTTTTGCAACACTAAAAGGTCGATCTCGTCTGGGTTCTCTATTGGGGAAATGCTCCCCATGTCCCTTGTTGTTGGCCACACGGTCCCTGCCAGCGCTGTGTGCGCAGTGCTGGCCACTGTGGCAGGCACCATTCAGCGCCTCTCTTCATGCAGGACGCCTGAGAGGAGGAGCCACTACTGCTGTCCCTGCCCTTCTGCCCGCAGCACAGCTGGCTAGAAACAGCCAGGCAGGCACAGGTCACCACTGGCCGTGCCGAGGTGGCAGCGGCCGCATGGCCACAGCAGCCACGTGGTGGTCACGGCACGCCCCCAAGCCCTCAGAAAAGAACTACACACTTTTTTTTCCTTCTTAAAGATTTCGTCACAGAGGCATTATGATCTTCTCCAGTTAGGCCAGCAGCATGTCCATTGTCAGAGCCCTCAGAGATTGGCTCTGCTGGACATAGTAGAAGCTACGAGCAGCTTTCTCTATCATAAGCCACTTCTGCCCCCACTAAAAGCCAGGCCATGTTAAACCAACACAACTGGATTTAGGAAAAAGACAATAGGAATAGCTTTATGAAGCTTTCTGAAAGCCTGCAATCAGGAAGAATTTGAAGACAACACCACTGTTCAAACATGCTATTTCTCTGTAAGTTAGCAAAACAGAGCACTGGAAAGAGGCAAGGTAATTTGCAGATTTTCAGCACCTTTCTAGCTAATGACATCAGATCAAGATATACAAAGTTAACCCACAAGTATCCTATTTAAGTTAACATAAAATTAACCATAGCAGATCTGTGTAACCTGAAGATATATTTACCAAAAGCTTCTTAAATTTATTTTTATTTTTTGTCTCAATATCTGGAATAGCAGTAGAAAATTGGATAAAATATTATTCATAAGCCAAAACAAACCTTGTTGAAATAACTGATGATGATAGCTCTGAGCTCAGCAGCAGACAGGGAAACTAGTTTCCCTATTACATTATGCTTGTTCTGTGAAAGACTCTGAGAAGATGACCTAAGTAAGTGCTGGCGATGATGAATACTTTCATTCTTGTAATCAATTGCAGCTACAAGGGCTTCAATTCCTTCTTCGAGCTGGAGAAGAATATGTTCTTCCTACAGAGAAACACATGAGTGAGATCTTAAAAAAAAAAAAAGCCTCAGAATTAATCTTTCAAGATATCTTTAACTTTATCCTCAAGAACAAACCTAAACTTAATGGTAAGATGAACTAGTTGTAGGACAGATAGTGGAGTGGAGAAAATAAGAGGTAGAGTGCAAATCTAGAACTTTTCCTGCACTCTTGCCACAATACAGAGGTTGATCAAATGGCTCATCACTAGAAGTCATGTTTCTCTTTTTATCCTTCCCTCATTCTCACCACAGTTTGACTTCTGCTATTATTTTTTTTTATTATTTTTTGATGTACTAGTTTTCTGTTGGATTAATGGATTTATCAATCAGTCAGTAGGGAGTTTGGTGACCATGACTTGTGTGGGGAAGTGGCAGAAATGCCTGGCCTGAAGCACTGCAGATTTTGATGAATGAGGCATACTGGAATATTATCAACCTCAGCCATAGTCTCATATTGCTTCTCAAGACCTGAAAGTAATCTGTGTATTTTATATTAATTTATTTTATCTTCAACATAATGATACTGATCAACTCCAAGTAATGGGCCATCTATATGTAATTATGTATAATTATGTATAATATGTAATATTATATATATAATAATATGTAATATAATATGTATAACATGTAATATGACTAATTTTCACTGTAAAAATATGAAGTACTTCAGGTGAAGTTTGCTTTTTCACAAGATTCTATGAAAAAAATCAAGGGGCATCATTATGTGAATACATTGCTTGTATCCTGACATTAAAATACCTGCCTGTGATAAACTGATGAACTACTAGTTTCCTTACTTCTCATTATTTGACTCTTAGACCAATAGAGTTTGGCAAGGCACTATCTGACTTATGTTCCTCTGATCTTAAACTTCATTCACCAGTATATAATTGGTGCTATCATAGCAGTATTTTAAAATTGCTATTTACAAAAGTATCCAGCTTCTCCTCCTTATTTCTAGCTTACCTGATATTTGGAGACATTTTAGTTTCCAACTGGAACTCTTTATTATCAAATAATATCTAAATCCAGTATTTATCTCTGAGGTTCTTACTTACTTCAGTTGACAACACTTTACCATCTTTCAATTTCTCCTCCATACTGTTTCTCCTTCTGAGCAGCTGGTCCCTTTCCATTTGGAGAGCCTGAATTTTTTCCAAAATGTCTGACTTGTCTTCAGTGCTGCTGCCCTGAAGCTGCATACTTTTATCACACAGCTCCTGATCCAGCATACTCAAGCGGGTAGACAATTTCATACTATCTTTGTTTAAAGCCTAAAAAAAAACCACAGCAATCACAGATATAAAAACGAGATATTCCTTTCCAGTAAGAAAACAGTAGGTGACACTGTTATATTCTGAAATGAAAAAAATTGTTTGTTTCTTGCAATGGAACCTCATTTACTTTCAGCGGACAGATACCATTAAAAAAAAAAAAAAAAAAGAAAAAGCTTAACATGCAGTTTTCTACATAATAAAAATTAAAGATAGTAGCCATTATATTTAACAATGATACTTTGTTTTCACTCTCTGTACTGAAAAGCAAATATTGCAGATATTCCCTGCTGTGTTCTCTAGATTGCAGAAGGACTTAGTCATATTCCTAAATAATATATCATAAATATCATATAATTTAATGTTCTACAGTAACAGAATTCCACAATTCAGAATCGTTTTATTTTGATTTTTGTTTTGTTGTTGCAATTTTGGGGAAGAAAAAGTGAATTATTATCTATGTTAATTACATTTTAAATGTCAATTGATCAAGCTACATATTATCTACATCACAGTGGTACAGACACAGGAGGTCCCTTGAGCTTCCTCTGCTATCTTATCTGCCCACCCCCACCACCAGTCTTTCAGTCAGCCTTATGACTGTGGTGAGTTTTGTGATTGTTTTCTTGAATCACCTGGCTAGATCTCAGTTTCTTGATTTCCAGGTGGCTTTTCTCTTGCAATAATGCTTCTTTTTTTGCTACAATGACTTCTCTTTTCTTTAAATCTTCTTCTAGTTCTGCTAACTGTTTGTGCTGTTGAAGAATTCTTTCCATTTCTTCATCCAGCCACTTCTTCTGCTCTTCTAATTTCTAAAGTTTCAAGAGAGATCCAGAGAGCATCAGCCAAGACACTTGAAGTCAGAATGTTATGATTATGTTTTACCTTTCTTCAGAATTACTTATAAAACTGTGGAAGACATTAACATTTCTAATGTCAGTATTAATTCTGCAACAGAATCCTTACTCAGAATAATACAAAAGACTGGACTGACTTAAAATGGGCCTCAGCAATGTTACGTTGCTGCATCTCATATAAACAAACTTGTATCAGATGCAGTATCTTTTCTAAAGAATATATATTTTAAAACTAGTTATATAAATAGATGTCATCTACCCAAGCACAGTAACTAGGTTTAGATGGTACCAAGAGAATTCAGCTAGCCCATCCTCATTGCATTTTAGTTGCCCAAAACCAGCTCTTTGTGGAAAAACACTGAGTGACAAGAAATAATGAAAGAATAAAAGACAGTAAATGACAGCTCTGATACTGCAAGCATGGTCCATTACAAATTTATTCTGAAGCCACAGTTTATCAGTGGATATATTCCTGTTAAGGCTAAAAGGCTTTCTTTATTTAACTTTTAAAATTTCTTTTCACCTTTAAAGACTTAGGGTAATTCATATTCCAGAGTCCAAATCTGAAACAATCTAGGTGGCTACATAAGATACATACTCTTCTAACCCTGTTATCAACAACTAAAACCAGAAACCAATACAATTTATGTCAGAGTATAAACCAAAACAAAATAAACGCCTGAACAACCCACAGAACACTGAAAATACAGCACATCAAGGTCACCCTCAAACCTACCAGACAACCAAACTTGCTGAATTCACAGGTATCTGAATCAGTATTTTTGACAAATTATTGGGGGGGTGGGGGGGAGGGAATACACTAAAGGCTCTCCTTTCTTTCATTCAAAAAGAGCAGAGTAAAGGAGCTGCTAGGTTCTACTCCCAGTTTTTGCTAAAAAGAAGATGAAACTATGATGGAATACTCTTTTTTCCAAACAGTTTACAAAAATAGATGACTAGGGATGAAGAAAGATTTTTTTATGTCAGAGGTCACACGTATTTGGAATAGATTAACTACCTGTAGTTTCTGTGGAGTTCCCACTAAGTTATTTTTCTTTTTAAAAGCAGCTATTTCTTTATCCTTAAGTTTAAGGATCTTCTGTTGTTGCTCCATCTTAAGTTGAAGTTCCTGTGAACAAACAAAAAGCACCATTTTTCTTACATCAGTCAGTCAAATAAATTTCATGTGAGAGTCCCCACAAAATATAATCTGAAATACTGACCCTTTATAACTTTATTTATAATTTATTTATAACATTGCAAATTGGAACTGGACATCAGGTAATAAAATGAAAAAAAAATTGAAAGAGAAAGGCAAAAGGATATTAAGGTAAAATGTTTATAGACAGTTTCTTTGGTGCATTTATCAAGAAATTAAGTCATTATAGAAAATTAGGAGAAAGCCTGGTAGTGTCATTTATTGGGGAAGGAGGGGCAAAAATTATTCATCCTAATCTTTGTCACAGGAAAAGAGGAAGAATCCTACTTTAATTTGTTGCTGATCCTGCTGAAGCTCTGCTTCCAGTTGTTTCTTCTTTTCACTCTCCTCAAATAGTCTCTTCTGTATCTGGGATTGCTGATGCTTCATCTGAGCCACTTTCTGCTCCAGTTCTCTTGCTTCTCTCTCACTTTGATTAGATAATGAAGCCAAATTCTTGGTGTCTTGCTGCTTCTTCTGCAAGGTCTGAATGTTCATGTCAAATTTCAGATTAAAAGCAGGAAAACTTGTAACTGAAATATGACTCAGTTTCATTTTTTATTTCACTGAATTCTTAGGGTCAGCAAGATTTAATAACTTCTGCCCAAACAATCACTTGTTATTGCTGCAGTTTCTGAACTGGTAAAGTTGGCACAGGCAGAATTAAACATACTAATACTAATACTAATACTAATATTAATATTAATACTAATACTAACACTAATAATAATAATAAAAGTACAGTTCATGCTTGATAATGCAGTGGAAGTACTAAAATCTAGCAGAAACCACAGTTCTGGAAAATTTGCAGAGACACAATAGTGCCAGAATGCTGGTGTCAGAATGCTGGTCCTGAGCTCAAGTCAGAAAGCAAACCACCTCTTTCTGTATGGAACCTTTCTAACCTGCCATTCCAGGATTGAGAGGCACAGAGGACCTAAGCTGGCCCTATACAGAATGCTGACTTAGATGTAGCAGAACTTAAAAATAGAAGGTCAGTGTCAAACAAACATATCTGTGTTGGGCCTGGTCTTGCAAAGTATCACAGGGATTTGCTTAGAACTAGGATTTATATACTATTTTCATAAAGCATCAATTTTATTTATGGCAGGTAATACATTTGTAATACCCTCTCTTGGATAAGTTCTTCTACTGGACTATATACAATGATGTATGGACATCTCATATCTCCCAATACTTTCTTAGTTTCTTACATACCAAGAAGATATTTTATGTATCTAACCAAGTAGATGTTAACCAGTGGTTTGAGTATAATAGTATTAAGTTTCTCACTAGCTACTTCAATCAAACCAGCTTCCAGTCTGTAAAACAGGTAAGAATTTTACAAGCAGAGCGTTAAGGTTCAGACAGAGATTTGCAAATCTTAAAAATCAGATCAGAAATACCTGCACTTTCACCTTAGCTGCCTCCATCTTCTTCTGGTACTCTTTATGTAACGTAACTTTCTCAGGAATGTCTTTCAGCTCTTTACTGTCCAGCTCCTGAAGCTGCTTTTGTGTTTCAGCCAGTTCTCTTTTGGCCTGCTCAATTTCTTTCTCCAGTTTACTCATCTTCAAAGAATACTGCCTGCTTACAGACTGAGCATCCTTACCTTAAAGACAGCATATACAAAGAGTTTAAAATGAACATGATAATCAGTTGAAATATAATACTCACTTTTGGAGTTGAAACATTACTTACTTTGCTTTGGCTAAGTCAGTAATTTCTGATATATTTTCCAACACTAAAGGAATCTGCAGTTCCCTTCTAACTCTGAAATGGAGATAAAGAGAGTCCTAAGCCTGAACGTTTCATGAGTCACCTCATGCCACCAAATAAAGTACCATCTGAGTGTCAGAGTTAAATTCTTCTGCCTACTGTAGATTTTGATAAATTTGCTATCCTATATTTCATAATTTTGTTTTGTTTTTTTTTTCCCCAGAATAATATGCCATTTATTTATTACTCAACTTTCAGCTTAATAATTAGTAAATAATTTTGGATTGTGTTTCTACTCTGTGACTTGTCCTGTTTGGGCAATCTGGGATGGCACAGAATCTTTTTCAGACCACCTCAAGAGAAGAAAACAAAGGAGGAAAGTGTGATTGGAGAGACTGAGGAAAGAGATCCTTCCTGTCATCACAATGCTAATTTCGGTCAGGACAGCTGTGTCAGGGATATAGGCTATGAGGGACACTGACTATTCCCTTCATCCACTTCTGACTGCCATTTCTCTACTGTTAAAAGAATAGAGAAGATACAATGATGTATCTTTTCTCCTATCCCAGACATTATGTCACAAATACCTGTCTACAAAGTGATCAGTAGCACTGGCCACACATTAAAAATTACACTGCTGTTGGATAAAAGCAATAATCTGCAAAGCACAAAAAATATTTAACAAATAATCTTCATGTCATAGAGTAATAAAAGTTTTCAGTGTGATCAGAGCAAGTAATCAGCAAAATTTATGGATTTTTAGGCTATTAAAAGTATTCTTGCCTAAGATAGTCATGTGAATACTAAGACATATAGGACTTCAGGTTTTCTGTGCATTCTCTTTTGTTTCTGAACATCTTCATTCCCTACAATGTAAGGAATTAGTAGTAGTAGTAGTAGTAGATGTAGTATCCAATATCCAGTATCCCTACAGTAGCCAGTTACCTGTTCTTACTAATTCCTTAATAAGTTCCTCTTTCCTTTTGATATTAAGTGAAAGTTCTCTTATTTTTTGCTCAGCCTCAGCGAGTCTCAACTCTGAATTCTTTAACTTCTGCATGTTAAAAACATGGATTTTCTGGAGACTGTCAATCTCTTCACCTTGAAAAAAAAAAAACCAACAAAATAGAGTTATAAAATCTGGAATAGATGTTGTATTCAAAAGATAATGTTCTGCAATATTGACTGTGTGCTGTTCTTTCATATGAAGTACAAGAATCAAAAGGAGAGAAGAAAGCAGGGTATTTTTCCCTGACATGTATCTAAACAGGAAAAAAAAGAATGATATGCACTTGCATTTCAAGACTCTAAGTCTGAAAAATATTCCAGAAAACACTTCAATATTTCTGGTAAGATAACAGAATCCATTTTCTTTCAATGAAGCAGTACTAAAGATTTATGTCTGACTAGCTTTTTCATAAGTGAATGGCTTTCCAGCTAGTAGGTATTACTTAGAGGTTACTAACATCAATTTCAGAATGGTAAAGAAAAACAGAAATTGGAAAACCTACATTGAATTATAACCAAAAAAATATTTGTAACAAATACACATGTTTTGCTGGGAAAACTATGCTAAACATGTGCTAAAGACATTATTGCATATTCTGATACTGTAGTAAGATTTGCTTTAATGACTTCCATTGTACCTGTGGTTGTGTCAGTTTGTAGCGCAGATTTATTGGACAAACCAGACTTTTCTACTTGACATTTCACGTCACTTACATCAGGAAGGAAGCAGAAAGAAGTGTGATTTTGTGTCCATGTTTGGTTCATGGAATGCCTATAAAAGAACGATAAACATACTACTCTACAAATGCATAGGGATTTTTTTTTTCTTTAAGCATCATGCAAAGTAGATGATCTTAACAGAGAAGAATCTCAAACTTACAAATTTATGCCTTCTTTCTCATCCACACCACTTCCACACACACCACCATCCAATCCCCAATCTTCAAGGTAGATTCTGACCCCCAAGCAAGGATTATGCAATCTTTGCTAAACCTACATATATTAAACTTATTTTGCAGTATGCCCAGTTGGTCCCACAGGTTTATAGTAAGTATCATTAAAGATGATACCATATCATGGAAGGATTAGGCAGTAATACTACCTTTGCTATAATTTTTTCTGCAACAAAAGTTAAACAACAAAAAATTACTTATATAAGGTTTTCTCTTCGCTGCCTGTGTCTTCATCACTCTGATCAGAGAGGTGGTGGTGAAGGACTTTATCTTGCTCTTCTAACTTGCTCAGCATAATCTGTCTGCGAACATGGAATTCTGCCATTATCTGGGCCAGGGACAAGACAGGGGGGCTGGTATACCCCTGTCAAAAAGCACATGAAAATAGTGATGGGTAAAAATACTTGCAACAATTTAGCAATTTGTTAGTCATATTTTAAAAAATATTTCACCACTTGAGCTTGTAAGCAAAATTACACAGGTTTTCTATAGTAACTGTGAATACCTTTGTAACAAAAGGTTTTGCAAGAGCCTAGGGGAGTTGTGAAACATGAAAGAGGGCATTGTTACAAATTCATTATCCCATGTACTTAATATATTGGTAAGAATAATAATTCATTTTTTATAATGTTTCAAACTTGAACCTGCAAAACCCCCAGAAAACCAGCTGGGTGATGAAAACATGAGAGCCATAGCACTTGTAGGTGGGAATTTTAAGCCTAAATATTTTGGATAACTGTGATATAAACAAACGTTACAAAACTAATTTTTCAGAGTCTTCAGTGGGAAGTTAAGCAGCAGTATCTGAGAAAGCCACCATATGTTATTATCTCATGTCTAATCACTGGCCTATAATCATTACAAAGCAGAAGGGGGAAAATTTGAGTAGACCTTACCTTTTGTATCTCTGTCCCTGAAGTCAGGGGAAGTGGGCGTAGCAGGTTTTTTGTGACTGGAACACTGTAGGGCCTCCTAGCAAATGCCATGACAGCTGGTCCATCTTTATAAGCACGTGGGAAATCTAAAGCTTTCACATCTGTAAACTTCTCTAATTTCAATTTTAGCTGATCAATGAGTATTTGCTGTTCCACCATTTTCTCAGTCTCATGGAAAAAAAAATAAAGCAAAAGCAAAACTGAGCTCTGTATGATATTCATGACTTCTAATTCTTCACAAAGGTCATGAATCTTGTAAATCACTCATCGACCCTAAGTTATTCTGCAGGGCACAGACAAATTCTGAAACAAACTGAGAATTCTATGACATACCATCAGTCTCAGCACCCCCCACCCCACCCTCACACCCCCCCACTCCCCAGTCCAATAACGTTTAGATGCATTTTTGTTCAGAAAGACCTACTCCAGTGTCCTTGATTACAGAAAGAGTGCCAATAGGGGGTGTAACCAAATAGAGTATTCTACCCATTTCTGACAAACTGTTAATGATGAGTCATCAGGCTACAAGCTGGGTGTTAAATGAGGTAAGGGAGAAGAGCCAAACCCTGTGAGGAGGTGAGTTTTTCTACACAAACGATTCTGTAGTGCCAGCTCCTTCTGGAGGATGCTTGCCACTTTCCTTCTGTAGATCTTGAGCTTGCTAAGGAAATTATGGTGGGTAGTATGTACATGACATTTCAAGATCAAGAAGACTGCCAATAGAATAGTCAATATTCTGCTGGTATTGCCTGACATGTGGATGTCAGATAAGTTATTATATTAATTTTTAAAAGAGAAAAGCATAAACATGGATAGCTAGTGCTCTTCTCCTTATTATACTTTTTCTCCTTTTTCCTTTGCTGATGTCTTGAGGAGAGTCAGTGCATGAAAGGTAAGTAAAGGAAAAGAAAACTAGTCATGATCTTTTTCTTTCTTCTGTCACTTTCTTTGTTTTCTGACACTTCTGGCTAAATGCTCTTTTTAGCCTACACTGTAACACTGACATAGTGTCAACTGTGTCAATTGTGACACAATGCAGTGTCTGCTTATATAAATTTTGGAGGATACTAGGTAGCTGTCACAGCCTAGATAAAAGGTTATTTCAGTATCAGAGACAAGAAGGAAGCTTGAGAGCTTTCAGGCACCATTTTGGCATTTAGTTCACTAAACTGCCACTTCTATTTAAAAAGATACAAAGCGGGTAGAATAATGAAAGGCAAGTGCTTCTGTCAAATATTTTACATTGTATTCACTGGCATATGCAATTTAACACATGCATGTGCAGTTTATACACGTACGTATTTCATGTAAGGGTGTTACACTGTGGAGTTGTATGTGCAATTGTATCAGGGACAAATAGCTTCAAGGTGGATCAGTCGGCTGTTACTTCTTCCAAAATGATAACAAATATGATATTCATACATATATTCTATTTTTGGTGACATAGGAATAGTATGTTCCAACATAATGTCAACTTGTAAGGCATTGTATATTTGTGTTTGGAAGGAACTTTCAGTCTAAGACAACAACATAAAGAATGATGAAAAACACGTTACTCAAAGTAGAAGAATGCAGAATGTATCGTGAGCTATTACTCAACTTCCTTGTTGTTTGTGGGGTAGATTTTAACCATACTTCATAAAGAATAAAAAACAATAGAGTGAGTTGAAAATGGATATAATCTTGGCCTTATGGATGAGTCAGTTTGGATAACGTAAGTACTTTTGAACAATGTGGAAAATGCTGTAGGAGAAGCAGATAAGGTCTTCAAACTGGCATTATCTACAAAGCTGAGGCTGGGTGGAAGAAAAAGCAGTAAGTGATCCTGAGATTGTGTACATGTTTTTGTTTATTAATACAAGTAATCTTTAAAGTGGCACTGTTCAAAGTGGAAGAGGAGGCACATATATATGTTTAATTAATAAGACTCAGGCCATAAGTTTTATTCGAAAATGTTTGTTTAATCTGCATTTTATTTCTCTGCAAACACTCATATAAAGCAAGCATGAGCTCCTAATTATGTGATCCACTTCTCACTAGATGCCTAGACAGGCTAATATGACTAAACTAAGTGTGCTGATTTGAAAGTAAACCAGTGGGAAAAATGAAACCCACACAATGACCTTGAGAGAGATTTCAGGTCTGAGTTACAATTTAATAGAAAAAAAAAAATAAAAAATCTAATGATACATGTTAAAATTGGCTTGGACCCACAAAGTCAGATACAAATCTGGGGAGAGGGTTCAGGAAGCATGGAGAGCATGAATGGTTCACTTCAAGTTATGCAGGAGGCTTCTGGAACAGCTAAACTCATATACAATCTCCAGGAATCACATTACTGTGACACATCCACTAGATGAACCCAACTCATTCTGAAACAGCTCAATTAAAACAAAATGTCCTGTGGAGGCTCCAGAGCCAAAAGCTATCATGGTGTGGAAGGAGGTAAGGTTTTCCCCCATTTTAAAGTTAATAAGAAGGGCTTTTCCCATAATGCTTTGCACCTCCATTTTGTTGTACCCCACTTCATATACCCAGTTAGCCTGTTGGCTGTCCCTCCCCTTTTTACCTTGCATGTCCCTTCCCTAGAAAGTTCTCCCTTCTCTGTTCCCCTGTTGGCCCCAGTTTGGTGCAATCATCTGCCCCTGTAACACCATTGTCTCTCCCTCTCCCTGACCCCACCTCTGCACCACTTTCCCCTGCTCCTATTGGACCCTGACCATTGGATCCACCCCCTCAAACCCACATACATTCCTGGACCCTCAATTGCTCCCTGTCTTTGTTCCTGGACCCCTTTGGTGCGTGGTTGGAATAAACCCCACTGGAACTCCAATAGAGACCCTTCCTGCCTCTCTGTCAGTGATTGCTATCTGTGGCATGTCAGAGTGTGTGTGTGTGTGTGGGCTGCCCAGATGCTGTCTCCTCTGGAGGCACTTTTGGGAAGGTAGCGTCGCCCAACCACCTACACCTGCTGCTACACTACCCTAATATTTACTGGCAGTTAAGTAAAAAGAATTCTGAGAGACCTGTTGAATTCATTCACATGGTAGAAGTTCAATACAGATAAATGTATACCAGTGGAAGAATACCTGTAATCTTTGTGTTTCTTGAGCTTCCTTTAAAAATTCCTGTTGTTCTTCCTTTTCTTGTAGTAATGTCTTTATCTGATTCCGCAGTATCTGCAGTTCATGATTCTTCTGGCTAAATAGTTCTTCATCCGTAACTAGTATCTGCTAGATAATAAAAGAAAAGTTCAGCTGGGCGAAAGGGACATTATTATTATTCCTACAAATGGAATAGGAATAAAAATAAAATCTCATTTGTTGTTAAAAGACATGGCCAGAACTGCAAAGTCTCGATGTATGTATAGCAAATTGTCTAAGTGGTTATCTGTTGTCTGCAGTTTCTAGCAGCTATTTCTTCACATCTGTTTCATCTATTGATTTTGTTCTGACAAGTCTCATTCTTCCAAAGGAGATCATGTACTCACAACCAAACCTGATTTCTTGAAGTATATATTAAATTCAATTATTCTCTATAGTATGCTGTTACATGTAGCTACAAGATCACAGCTTCTTGTGATTAATACACTTCTCAAATGAAAACAATAAGAACAGCTGTCCTCAATCTGCAACTTGTGTAACAGTTTAAAGAAATCTCAAGAATACTTCTTCATATGTTCTTGTGAATGAACTGATACTAATTGATGGAGACTTCCAAGTATTGTCACTCTTCCAGAAAGCCAGCAGAAGTCAAATACAAAGTAGTAAAACATTGCATCAATTCACAAACCTTCTCATTCCTGGTCTTCCTATTTTTTTCTCCAACAGTCCTGGTGGTGGACATATGAATGAGTTTGGGTGTTAGCTACAACCAAGCCACTATGCCAGTAAGACAGCATTATCCAGGCAATAATAACTGTTAGCAAAGAAATCTGTATGTACAGACAAGAATAGGTGCACTACTAGTTATTAAATCAGTCCATATACAAACCCTGCTCTAGAGTCTGTAGTGTCTCATTTATTTTAGCCTTTCTCTAACTATCTCTTCCTCGCTGTGCATGGCATATTCACCTGGAGAAGTGAGTTTAAGCTAAGTTTAAGCTCAGCTTTTACACTGTGTTGAACCTGGGAAACAAGAGGTTTAAAACAAGCCATATAAGAAAATCAAGACGGCAGAAAAAAAAGCTGTGATTTAGATTGCTTGAGAACAAAGAAAAGACAAAATTTGCTTATGCAATTGCCTGATAACAATTTACAGGTTTACCAGTTTGGCTGCAAACTAAAAATGGGTTGATGTTACAAAATTCTAACTTATTGGAGCACTGCCTCCAATTTACAGGTTTGCCAGTTTGGATGCAAACTAAAAATGGGTTGATGTTACAAAATTCTAACTTATTGGAGCACTGCCTCCTTCCACACATGACAAACTCAAATTTGTTTTTCTGAGGTGTTCATCTGGCATCAGAACTTCACTCAGTTTCCAATTAGCATACAGTTAAGTCATAAAATTAATTTTGATTTGAGATTATTTTCACTGTACAGTAATCTGCATTTCTTTTCTTCTGATGTTCACAGTCAACATTTTAACTCGGCACATCCAATATATGTACTTCCTAAATGTATTTGGGGATGTTCCAAAAAAGAATTATTTATTTGCTCATGTCTCAGTTCTCTTAGGAGACATGCTCTCAGAAGGCTGAGAGCTCTTCTCCCCATAGATCATCTCTAGGACTATTTATCTACTGTGAGAGAAACAGCTAATCAGCACTACCAATACGACAGGATCTTCATGGGATATCTGCATGCTAAGACTCCCAGATTTTGTTTGGAACTTTCACCTCATTTGGAAAACCATAAAGAAGTATGATGTCACCAAAAAGCAAAAGTTGATGTTTAACACAAAAGCAAATGTTAGAAAGTTGCTAGACAAAGAAATCTGCAAATAGTTTAGAAACTCAGTTAGTTAAAGGCATGGGACTGGAAAAGGAAATACAGGAGGTTTTGTGAGACCATAGCTGCAGAAATACAGTTTAGGAATTTGCTAAGAGATAAGAGATAAGAGATGAGGCTAACTTCGTAATAGACCGACTAGCATACTACATACCTAATTAGTATTAGACAAAAGTTGCAAAACTTAATCACTGGGTTATCTAAATTCACTGGTATCTTTGAAAATATCTGTATTGTAATTATATCCATAATACTTCTGACAGAGTAATATATTTGCAGGACTCAAAACAATTTTTGGGTTCACAGGACAGCTGCTAAGGGTATGCAACTAAGTACACACTTCCAAAAGACAAGAAAGTTCTCTTTCTCTCTTTCTTTCTCTCTTCCCCTCTTTCTCTTCTTTTTCCCCCAGCTAAGTACACTCCCTTACTTCCAAGTCCCCAATCCCAAGGAAAAGTGAAAGAAAGAAAACTTGTGGGTCAAGAAAAAAATTGTTAAGTGAAGTGAAAGAACAGAGAAAACAACACAAGTAATACAAAAGCAGTGAATTAATGCAAAACCAATCACTCTGTTATAGATGGGTAATGTGATGGTTAGCTCTCAAAATTAAGCGATAAATATTGTGTGTATGTTAAAAGAAGTTTTACTGATGTATAGTTATGCTATTGTGGTTTGTTGTTTAGATGTCCTGTGTTCTCTCCATAGGCCCCTTTCCCCCTGGATGGTTGCCAAGGGACGGCCTTGGTGGTCCGGACATGTGGCAGGAAGGCGAGCTCTGTGCCCTTGAACAAGGCAGTTGGGGGCGGGGCAGGCTTGTTGCCAGGGGGTGCGGCATGGCAACACCTGTCCGCCAATCAAGTTACAGGAGAGCAGTCTCCACCAATGGACAGTGAAGAAGAGTTGATTGGCAGCCTCTGGGCAGGGCCAGGACTGCCTGAGGCAACCCCCAGAGGTATAAAAGGCAGGGCAGCCTTTTTGTGGGTGAGCACATGGTGTGTTAGTTCCATGCTCCCAGTGCTGTAACTTTTCTTTATTCAGTCAGTTTAATAAACCTTTGAAATTTTCAAAAATGAGCATTGTTTCTCACAACTCTCTGCCTCCAAAGGATAGACTGATGCCCATTAGCTCCTGAACAAAACAATGTAACTACATAACTACATCCCCCTCCTCCCCCTTTCAGTTTCTGGGTACATTATATGATGTGAAACACCTCTTTGGATGACTTGGGTCATCTGCCTGGTTGTACTCCTCCTGCCCCTGGGTGCACTATCTATATTCACTAGTGAATGTTCACAGACAGAAAGAGAGTTGGTCCCTTGATGCTGTGCAAACATTCCACAGCAAGACCTGAAACACTGATGTTTTATCAGCATTGTACTAGTCAAAAATTTAAAACGTGGCACCCTGCAAGCATTCATAAAAAAAATTAACTCCATCCCGGTCAGACGTAGTACCTCTGTTTAATACTCCATACCACTTACATCATGGTCAAACCCTACACTATCCAATGCAACCTCATTAACCATCCCACCTTTCCTTTTCATCCTTTGAGTTATACACAGATATCATTCCTTTAGTCTATAGGCCACTCCTGTAAAATACGCATAAAATGTCCACTGAGTTTATTTAGGCCATGATGTGGGTTCTGTCTGGTTACAGTAACCACTCAGGACAGGAGCCCAGGCTATGGTAAAAGAATTGTTGTATGATCCTAGAACAGACCAGCACAGTCCTTCCAATATGTCAGAGACTGAAATGTTTTAATTCATGGCTCAAACATTGTCATAACGATTTTTGCCTGTTACTGCAAAACTGTGCAATGAAGCTGCACCACCAAAACCCACAGTGAATGGCCTCCTGACTGAAACCCTGAACTGTGAGTTAAACCAACTAAGGCTATTTGAGATAAGAAAAGAGACACTATTGGTCGAAGCATCTTAGGCCTGGGAAGTAATGGATAAGGCTGGGAGAGCATTCACAGAAGAGCCAAGCCCAGCAGCTTCAGGGTGAAGGCCATGGCCCCAGGCTAATCTGTTGGCAGGTTTGCATAAACTGCCCCCCACCAAGAGTCGGGGAGGTGGGTTTCGGATGCATGTGAAAACCTCTGGTCAGAGGCAGTGAACACCCATCCTCTGCTGTGCAGACTACCTCAGCTTGGGGTGTGAGGGCCTCACACCCCAAGAATGTCACATCTACAGGACATTCATGTGAGGGGTAGCTGAGTGTCATGGCCTATTAAAGCCCCCCTGAAGGGTTCCCCAGACGCTTTACAGTCCCCACAGGACTGTACATGATGAAAAATGATGCAACTGATCCAAAGTCTTTGAAGGAACAGTATCAAACATAACCCCCCACCAGGGAGGATGTTCCCACCTGCCCCAAATGTATATTTACCCATTGGATACTATGCTTTTGGCAGAGGACCCTCACCATCAAGACCACCAGATGGAAAGGATCAACAAGATATCAAGATCCATGGACGGGTGGTATGTTTCTACTTAATCTGGCTGTCACGCTCCCTGTCCTCTCTGTTCCCTCCTTCCTCCCCTCTCCTCCCCTCCCTGGTTGCTGTCATATGATATCTGTGTGTTCTGCCACTCAGATCACATGCACTGTATATTGTTTGGATCTTTTGAGGCCTGATTATTGTCCATGTCACTGAAGACCACCTCCATCACCTCTAATTCCCTCAAACATTAAATATATTCCTCTGTGGCAGTCCACATGCCTCACTGGATGACAATTTCTTCTTTAAGAGAGTACTTCATGATCAATAGGAGTCACCTTTGGAACCTGGAGGTGGCTGACTCTCTTCCAATCCCCTCTGTCAAACCCACAATCTCTAGCAGAGAATCCCTAGGTGTTTCACTACCTTTTAGTTACAGACAGTTAGCCCTACTATTCCAGTTCTGGAGAAATCAGGTAGCAATTAGCTCATCTTGTCAGGCAAAATCTTAACACGTTATCTTGCAGCTAGGTCATGGATAAGGACCAGGTAGCTTCCACTTCTTACGATTTCTGTCTCTTTCCTTTCCTATCCTGCTGTGGAACAGGCTGCCTGTTCTGATTCTTCCTCTCTCCTCCTCTGAGCAGGAGCTGTGTCTTCTCTTTTTATAAGAATAAGAGAAGTCTCTTATCAACTTGATCTCTGCTTCCACTGTTTCTTCTTTACTGCAAGATCAGCTGTTACAGTTGAGGGTTCAGTCTCTGGTTTAGTGTCCTTGTGGTCTCAGACCAAGAGACCTCAGTCTCACAAGACTTACCACAAGACTGTGGGCTTTTAGACCATAATCTCTTGCATTTCTAAGGGCACTGGACACTGACTTTATAGGCACAGGGCACATCCAACACAGCTATAGAAGTCACTGTGTTTTACCTTCACTCCTTCAAATGATATATTAGTTTGATGGTTTAATGAGCCTGTTCAGACATAAAATCACAAGCTGTCAGAGGCAGCAATGGCCCTGTGCTCCTGCCCAACTACTCCCATACATACTGACACCTCAGGCATCAATCACCTTAGAGCGTTTTTGTGTGTGGCAACCCCAAATAGCTGTTTAACTTTATGAACAATGATCAAAGTTGGGATCCCAATGTATCAGTATGAACAGTATGATTACAAATGGATACTGAAGGAGCTCAGAAGCCACTACATCAAGGCTATAAAAAACTGTTCTGGAGGAGAGGCTGGGATAAGTGCCACTTTTTCCCCTCTCTCCACAAAATGTCTCTCAGAGAAGAAGAGGGGAAAAGTATAGTATATATAGTGTATATATAGTTTGTGTATATAAATATATATATATATAGTGTGTGTATATATATAGTGTATATACACCCCCCCCCATATATATAGTGTATATACATATATATCTATACTATATACGGTTCTATCCATGAGGCAGTTTTTGGAGTACTGTGGGACATCCACAGTGTTAAGACCCAAGTACCAGGTAAGGCTGATGGCCAGTGGTTTTGTCATACCTCTCTTAAGCAAAGGAAAACAAAGTGATAAAAAGCAAACAAAACAGCAAAATCTGAAAATAGTCATTAATGATTCTTGGAGGCTGTTGTACAGCTAGAAAGGAGTCAAGCATCTAAATATTCAAGGACACATACAAGTCAGCACCCAAAGCAAATATGCAGCCTCATGACCTGCAACTATCATTCAACATCTTAACTAAACAGGTACTAACAGCTACAAGTTTAATCTAGCACACTATAGTCAAATCTGTTATTATCTTGAAAGCCTTGAGCCATAGGTTAGGTTCCAAATTAGACTGTTATGGGTAGTAGCCAGTGAAGCACACAGAGCTGTCTTTTCACTTCCCCCTATTCCCATCTCCTAGGAGAACAGAGGAAAAACAAAGGGAAAGTGAAAGCAAGAAAATTTGTGGGGCAAGATAGAAACTGATCAGTAAGTGATGATGAAGTGGAAGAGAGAAAGAAAATAAAACAGATGATGCAAAAGCTATCGCCCACCACCTTCCAAGGCTGACTAATGCTAAACCCATTCTGGACAAAATACAGCTTATCTCCCTAAACCCACTCCAATTTTTATTGCTGACCATCACATTATATGGTATGAATTCTCTCTTTGATTAGTTCTGTCATCTGCTTTGTTGCATGTTTGTGTCTCCAACTATTCATGCACCTTCTAATCTATTTACGGGGTGTCACAGGCAGAAAAACAGAAGGCCTGTCACTGTATAAAACACTGTTCAGCAAGAGCAAAAACATTACTGTGTTATTGCCATTGTATTGGTCACAAATCTAAAACACAGCATCCTCAGAGATACTATACAGAAAACTAACTCAATCTCAGCCAGACCTAGCATACTAGAATAGCTAAACCCAAAAATCTATTAGACAAAACAGCTCAGCCTCAAGAGTCATCTTAAAACTGACTAGAGAAAATATAATGTTACTTCACTTATATCTGTGGTCACTGATTGTGTATTCAAACATCCATTAAAATAAATCTATGTCCCAGAGATTAGCCAAATGAAATGATATAAAATTGTAAATTAAATTTAGTTGCCAAATTAAGTACAAGTGACAATTTTATCCATCTTTCAAAATGGAGTTCAAATTTTGGCAGACTGCTTTTTCACTTAGTCATTTAAATAAACAGCTTATAATTAAATACCTGGCATTTCTTTAGTTCCCTCTTCAGCTGAAGAATTGTGATGTGATGTGGTACTGGGCTGGTCTCAGTCCCTGTCTCAGTTTCCTGGACGGTGAAAGCTTCCTTCCTTACTTTCTGTACCATAGTGATCCAGCTCTGCAGCCTGTCCCGCTGACTTCTTCTTAAGCTAACATCATCATTCAAGTCAACCAGAAAGGGGAAGGCTTCATCTACACAATTTCTGTAACTGAAATATTGAACCTGAAGGCGGGTGAGCTGCTCCTCAAGTGAACTGATACGGGCTTTTTCTTCGTTTAAGTCATGTACATGCTGATTACTGACCTGCTGGCTCTGTAAAGCTTCCCGAAGCAATCTGATTTCAAGTTCCATTTCATCAATTCGGTCTTTTTCTGGGTTGTAATTTACTACTGGTTTATTTCTAATGTTTTTTGCTCTGTTTGCATATTTGAGGGAATTTAAAGATTCATCGAAGTCCAGTGAAGATGGACTTATACATGTTATCATAACAGTCTTGGCATTTCCTCCAAGGGAGTCTTTCAGAATACGAGTGATTTTAGCATCCCTGTATGGAATATGTACGTTTTTCCTCTTTGGGTCTCCAAGGGCACTGATGACATTTCCCAAGGCCAGGAGACCACTATTGATCTGAACTGATTCTTTGAAGCGTTCACCAGTATTTCCAGTCTTTGCTACCCTCTCTGATCCTGCCAAATCCACAAAATGAAACTTTGAAGCAATTGGATCCTGTGCAGCATCAGTATTTTTCTGATACTCTGCAGACTGCTTCTGACAAATACTGATGGTAAAAATGGCATGAGATCGACTGGAGTGCTCATTCTTCTGTGTTGTGCCTGTGTGACGAGCTGCATTGCCACTTCCCAGCAGGCTTATCACTTCATCTGCACATTCTACTTGGAATTCCTTAGCACCAACAATCACTTCAAACACCAAACCAGGTGAAAGAAATAATAATTTAATTAATTCTAAGCTCTTCAGCAAAAGTTTACAGCAACAACTATAAACATGTATTAGAGAAACACACAAGCCTGTGTTATTATGAGGTCATAGCATATAGCTATAGAAATAGGAGATACAATATGTGAAAAGCATGAGGTACAATACATCTGAAACCTGCAGATATTTAATGTAGGGGTGTATTGTGCCATAACAAATAATATCTTAGACACAAGACATAATTCATTTACACATCACACACTGCACATTACTTTTACAATTTACAATGTAGTGCTAGCTAGCAGAAGTGTAAGCAAAGTCAGCTCAAAGGATATTTTGGCAAAATTAAAAAAAAATACTAAAAACTATAAAGTTTTTAGTTAAAATTATTCCCAGCCCATATTAAGAAAATAATTTCTATTCTGAATAGTGCAGGTAGTTGGCCCTTTGGGGACCAGTAGCTGTTAGCACACTAATAAAGTATAAGTGTACTACTACCAAGTACTCTTACTAATAATATATTTTATCGTATTTTGCTTTTCATGAAAGATGGAAAATGTCCTAGCACAATTCTGAATTCTAGAAGCTGACACTAACTATACTGAAGAAAAGAAATAATTTAAAATATATTGTGGTATCCTTTTGAAGCAATGACACTGTCTGCAAAATTTGTACTAAACTAGTGCTTTCTCCCAGCTACAGACAAAAAAACCAGGACAGCTTAATATAAGAGTATATTAATACTAGAGTAAACACAACAATTAGAATATAAAGAAAAAAACAAATCCAAACCTAAAACAGATTAAATACTTTCAAATAAAATATCTCTGATGTGGATTCTTCTAGCATTTTAATGAGGGGAACAGGATACCTATAGGGCAATTGTTAATCTCGAAGCCTCTAAAAATATCTACTCCCCCTCCTCTTAATGAAGTGGTCTCTTCCACTCTTTTCACTGTAAAAGGAGAGCAGACATTTACAGTATAATTGACTTAACAATTGTAATTTTGAAGGAAGTAGCAATGGTTTAATCTTAAAATATTTATTCAAGTGAATAATCACACACTATTTTGTTTCTAGACAGAACTTTCAGAAACAATAATTGTGTATTTACCATTTGTTGCCATTTCCATCCATATAATAGAACATCTGTATTGCTCACAGGCATCTAAACCCCAAACTGCTTCCAAACAGCTAAACTGAGCTTATATTCTGAAACTTTAACTTTTTTTTTTTTTTCCCTTTTATTCGTTAGTAATGAATAAGCACTTTCAAGAGAAAGCAAGAACAATTTGGACACAAACTGAAACCCAAACCAACAAATTTAAGAGCTAGAATCCTACCTGTATTTCCCTTCTCATCTTCTCGGATATGTAGCTCTTTTACAGAGGTCTCCAAATCCAACAAATCTCGAAGTTCTTCCTTGTAAATTTCTATATAGGATACCCTCACACAGAAGTTGATATTACGATGTTCAGAAATATGATTAAATAATTCCTGAATAGCCCGTGGGATTATGCCCCTTTCATCCATTGCAACTGATGCTAAAATAGAAGCACAAATGTCACAGAGACTTGCAGTCTTTCTGTCACATAAATTACAAAGACTGAAATTTGAGAGCAGCCTGTGATATTTAGTATGCAACACACTAAGGAATCTGAAGAGATCATTGTTCACAAGGATTTTTGTAATTTTTTTGTGTGTGTGTCAGAATTTTTGTTTGCATCCAGTGCTAGGATTCAAATTTAAGTTCTAAAGTACATAATTTTATTGTCATGAAAGTTGTGAAAAATATGGATGCTGTTTTAAAAATATACTCCTCAGAGTACAGATTTCTTCTATCCCTTCTTAATATGGTTAGCAATGACATTTCAAGGGTTTGAGAAACTATAAATTCTACTTATATAAAAAAAATCATCAGTAACATAGTGAGACAAGATTTATGACCAACATTAACAGTAATTTCCTATTTTTTTTATAAACATGGAACATTGGTGCCAAACTCTACCTTTTTTTAAATATTCAGCATAGGACAGTGTTTCTATTATTAATCTGTGTTCTTCATCCAAGACTATGGAAGCTGTTTGCCTATGAGACAATGCTAAGAGTCTTTTTTACCCAAAAACTAATGGGTTCTTCACGTCTAACTATTATTTTATTATTAATTAATTTTAGTAAGTGTATTCATTAAACCAAAAGTTTTACAATTAGAATTGCAGAGCTATGATCAGCCTTAGACTATGACATCCACTACCAAAACAATTTAGCTAGCAGTGGTACTTACAGGAACATTAAATAACTACTAGTGAAGGGAACAGAAGTGAAGCTACAACAATAACTAGAAGAGGCCAATGATATGAGGTTCAACTACGTGTGTGTCCAGAGAAAGGCAACAGAACTGAGGTAGGGTCTGGAGCACAATTCCTGTGAGGAGCAGCTGAGGGAGCTGGGGCTGTTCACGCTGGAGAAAAGCAGACTCAGGATAGACCATATTGCTCTCTACTACCATCTGACAGGAGGGTGTAACCATGGGGTGTCAGTCTCCTCTCCCAGGTAAAAAGTGACAGGACAAGAAGAAATTACTTCAGGTTGCACCTGGGGAGGTATAGATTGGATATTAGGAGCAATCTTTCCACTGGTGGTCAACCAATGGAAATGGCTTAGTTGTGGAAATGCAGTGGTTAATGGCTGGACTTCATGATCTTATGGGTCTTTTCCAACCTAAACAGTTCTGTGATCCTATGATTCTAAATAAAAGGAAGATTCTACCAAGATATTTGCAATACTCTATTTATATCCATTTGGAAGAATTAAATCATAAATCTCTTTGATGCCACGGAAATTTCTCTCAAAAGCCCCAAAAAAGCAAACAAATCCAACACAGAATGAGCAACCAAACAATTAAATGCCTAACGAAGACATTTTCAAGGTAAGATAAATGTAACAAAGATATTCAAAACCACTACATTTCAGAAAATGAGTTCTACTATAAGTTTCATGTTAAAATGTGGAATGGGAAAGAACACTTAACAAATTGTATTTTTCTTAGGTATTTTTGATATAGTCTAATTTATGGAGAAGGTTGTAGAATTTTAATTACCACAAAATTTGGAAGTTTTGGGGTTTTTTACTGCAGGTCTGTTTTGTTTTTTTTTAATTCTGCAGCATCATTTGCTATGTAATAAATATTTAGCTTCCACAAATGCACCCTTTAACAATTAACTAGGATCCCCCAAACCAAAAACCTTTCTATAACCTACCAATGTGGTCACCACCAATGGTGTAAGTCTTCCCAGAACCAGTCTGTCCATATGCAAACACTGTAGCATTGTATCCTTCAGTCAGAGACACTAGAAGAGGCTTAATGCAAACAGCATAAACTTCTTCTTGGGTTGAATTTTTGCCAAATACAAAATCAAAAGTGAAGACATGGTCCTTTCCAATGATAATTTGTTTAGCGTTTGGAACTAATCTGACACAGACTTGGTGGTTATGAAGTATTTCTTTGGAAAGCAGAGGTCTAACTCGGACTGCAACTTTAACTGGGATCTCCTCCATGCCAGACTCCATCCTTGTGCTTCTCGTTCAGCAGTCACACAGTCAAGAAGAAATCTGTTACCACTGCTCTGTTCACCTCATTCACATCTGTCTGCAACTAAGAAAAAAGGTTTTCCATGTTATATGAATGAATGAATCTCCTGAAGTGGAAAGTTGAGATTTTGTAAGGAACATGTAAGCACCATTAAAATCTTGAAAAGCACTTGATATAAATGCAGCTCTATTACTAACTATATAATCAATTTATAAATTAATTTTGCATGCATTAACTTCCAAGCTAGCAGACTAAAGTCAGAAGGTTACCTGATTTCCTGTATGAATATAACACAGTCATACAAAGCAATGATATTGTAAGAGCTTATTAATAAATACTGTAACATTGTAAGGAAAGGCTTGCAATGGATCCTCACATTTTCCTGTTCCTGCATTGATATTGCACAGGCAACACAAATCAGTCAAATAAAACCTTTTTCTACATGTTTCATTACATGTTTCAATACTCTCTTCCACTTATCAAGCACCAAACACTTCTAACTCAAACACCACAAAGAAGTATGGTTTTAAATGTATCTATTTACTACATGTAAAGCATTCCTCTGATTTCAATCTGAAACTTTAAGCACATATGTAATTATATTTTAGTAATTATAGTTTTAGCAGACATAGTTCCTTATACTGCTTGGTGCATATTCATCCTTCCAGTGTAAGCATTGCACACTAACACATTTGTAAATATTCAGGAATTCCGTTTCTTTACAGCTATTTTTCAGCAGAATTCAAAAACTTGCATGGGATCACACGCAAATCTTTTCTGTTGTTGCCAGTTCTAAGAATCTTCATCATGCAAGGTAAAGTTTGCTGAACTTCCTGCTCTCACACGCATTGTCTTCAAGAAAGCTGTATTACTGAACTGGCAGAAATCAGCTAAGCTCCCAAAATTCAAGTCTGTTGAAAACTAATTGCTTAAAAGTGTTGTCTCACAGCTGCAAAGAGAAGAACTTTTGCATTTCATTTTATTCCTTTTAGCTTGAGGACTTGGCTATCCACAGCCGAAGTTTGAAAAAAGAAAAGCCCCAATTTATTGACTGAGCAAAGAAGAAGTAAGCTAAGCACGAGAATGGGCCAAGACTGGTATCATCAGGGACACGGCAATCAGCAACAGATGCATAAACATACTGTTAAAAACACATTGTGATTCAAAGCACATTTTGATTGATAACTGAGTTTAGTTACTTGGGTGCACTTTTTTCACCCCCTAGCAAGTGCTTCTTTGAAATGCCAACATTTCCTACTGTCTTTTCAAAGTTATATTAATAAACAAACTAACAAACCGTGTTCCGGCTGTGGGAGGGAAGCCCTGTTTCCTAAGAATCTGTTTTGTAAAAGAACTTGGAAATATAAAATATTCCCAATACGTCAAGGCTAGAGAGACACTTCTGTGTCGACGCCCGCGGCTGCCGTAAGGCAGAGGCAAACATACTGCCAACCTTTTAGCTTGCAGGGATGTTGTGAGGGCAGACCAGCAAATCTTCCGTGTTTGCAACGTCTCCGAACCTGAGCAGCAGCCGGGATGGTATCACGCGTGAGTGTCGGGAACCGCTAGGGCCGCGGAGGCCGGCGCTTCGTGCCCCGCTGTGCCGCAGGGTGCCGCGGACCCGGCCCGGAGCGAGGCCCGGCGGCGGCGGCGGGCGGCGCGCGCTGTTTGGGCCCTCGCTAGGCAACGGCCGCCATGCCGGGCCGCCGTCCCGCGCGCACAGCGCCCCCGGCGGCGGGACGAGCGCGGGCGGCCGCGGCTGGCGGGCTCCCGGCCCTCCTTCGCGCCCTGCCCGCCTTCTCGGCCCCTCCGTCCGGGAAGGGCAGTGAGGCGCTGGAGCGTGGCCGGAGAAGCGCAGGGGAGCTGGGAAAGAGTCCGGAGCACTTCAGTGCCCTTAGGAGTGGCTGAGGGAACTGGGGGCGTTTAGCCTGGAGCGGGCTCAGGGGAACCTTACTGCTCTGTACAGCTGCCTGAAAGGAATGAGTAACAAGATGGCTTTCGGCCTCTTCTCACAGGCAACAGGTGCCAGGACAAAAGGAAATTGCCTCAAGCTGTGATAGGGATGGTTCAGGCTGGACATCAGGAAAAATTTCTTCACAGAAAGGGTGATTAAATATTGGAACAGGCTGCCCAGGAAGGTGGTGGAGTCACAGTCTCTGGAGGTGTTTAAGGAAACACTGGATATGGCACTCACGGCCATGGTCTGGGTGACAAAGTGATGTTGGGTCATAGGTAGCACTCAGTGCCGTGGTGTAGTAGACAGAGTCGTGTTTGGTCACAGGTTGGACTCGATGATCTCAAGATCAAGCAATTCCATGATTCTTCCCTTTCTACCTCCCTCCCTGTGTGGACTGAGATCCCTTCCATCTCACCCGTAAGAGTAAAAACACAGATACACCCCCAAGGCGCATTGTCACCACAGTGTTTATTGGACAAATGGACGGGTTATACTTCCATCTCTGAGCAGTAAAGCATCTGCCAAGCACCTGCCACCTTCATGCAGGTGGTACAGGCAGAAACAGGGAGAGGCCAAAGAGCAAGATATACCACAGGATCTGCACGTACATCTGGCTGTGCGCACAGACAGCCACATACACCAATACAAAGGTCAAAGAGCAGGAGTAACAAACCCTGCCTTAACAAAGGTTGCCTGCAAGGTTTACATTATTAATTCCAGTCTGTGGAAGCAAAAAATTAAACTAAAAGGTAATAAATCAATGTGGGAAAAAAAAGGCACATTGTTAATCAATCACAAGAAAACAAGCACTTGATTTAACAGTTCCAGATTAGCACATGACAAATCACCATATGAAAAGCAAATCTGCAGTTCAAAAGATAAGGCAACAATAAAAGAGCTATCAGACTGGACTTAGTAATATATACACCGTACTCGGTGGAATGGGATATCTTTCATGTCTTCCCTGTGATCCCGGGCATAGTCCCAAAGATAATAATCGAGTAAAACCGCATTGATCTTTTCATGCATGTCCTGACCCTTCTTCTGATAGAGCTCCTGCAGGTGCTTACAAATCAATGCACAACACCAAATAGAACAGCCACGGATCTCTATCTCTTCTTTGTCTCCAGACTGGAAAAGTGTTCCTGCGGAAACAAGGGACAGCAATCCATTTACATGCAATAGACAGAAGGCCAAAGACTGCCTAAATTTTCTAATTCTTCTTCCCCTTCACATTTACTCTGTTCTAGGATTCCAGGTCTCATGGCTTACCCTGTAACTGTTAACAATGTTGCTATACATTTTCTAATGATTATTTTAATTTTACCATATCGCACTTAGAAGCTTCCCTCCCATTCTATTCGAACAACATCCTGTATTCTAAGGAACTGCTTTAGCAGCAGGGTGTACTGCAAATCATATGATCATTTTTTTGCTTGTAGACAAAAAAAAGTTAAGTCTTTTATTATAGTATACTTTTTAGTGCATAATTATTATACTTCATAGTAAATATTCTGCCAGGATGACTGAAGTCTAAGATTTTAAAAATAAACGGCCTCCCAAAAGAACTGAATGTAAAGAGAAACAGTGGAATTATTTAAATGGGAATGTTCTCATTAGGATTCATGGAAGGATAAAATGTCTAAGATAAAATGTCTATTTAATATATAGATATGCATTAAAACATAAATATACGTATGACCATTCTTATAAAATTCATGTGCAACTGCATTAATCTGTCTTCCTGAGTATTTCTGAAATTGCGTAATAGCAGTTCTACATCTAAATACAGTCATTTTACAGTGCAAACGAGATTTATTCACTAAAATTCATGGTTAGTAAGTATTGGAAAGATGAAACCATGCTTAAAAAGTGAGATCCTAGTCATATGCAATTAACTTCATATAAAGCAGTATTTTTTTAATGGATGCTTATAATATGACTTTGCTTATTAACTAGCAGTTCAGTACAAATAAAGAGGAATTCCCATGCTTTTACATCATATTTGAATTAATGACAAAATCAGTTTCTTTTATGTAAACCTCAAAAATCCTAACTATTCTCATACTGAAAAGTGGTTTTGCAACAGCAGCTTTTCAGAAACTCAAATTATCTTTGAGTCTCTTTAATCCCTACCTTATCCATGTTTAATCCACAAAAGAGTTAGGTCTTTATAAAAAAGTAACCTTAAGATCTCACTCAAGATCACAGATAAAGTTCCTTCCTGTTCACTATGTAAGAAATCCTTGCTCCCTGAAGGAAAAAAACTGACACATAACCGTTAAATGGACAACATACTACATTTCAGAAATAGCCTTAGTCTACAATATCAGGTAGTAAGATTACTTATAGCAAGGACAGAACAAACCTTCACGTAGTTTCTTCATTAATTCTTCAGAATACTTCATTGCTTTTAAGTGAACAAGAACTTGTGGAATTCTGTAGTCAGCAAATATTGTCAGACTGGAAATATCATCAAAAGAGCCATCTCCTTTGCCTTCTAAAACACTCCATGTGTCAGCCACAAGTATTTGTGCCCGTTTGTAGAAAGACACCTTCTTTTTCTGAAAAAAGGAATTTATGGATTATTTTAGTCCCTGATCCATAAATATAGCAAATAACACATTAAGCATATCATATTGTTAAGCAAACATTAGTTAATGGAGAATAAAATAATTTATTTTAATTTTTTTAAAGAAATCTAAATAAAATTTACATTTGAATAATTTTTTTTTACAATTTATTTTAGAAGTATTATTAAGAATAAAACCACAACAGTCTTAAATATCTTAAAATCTAAACAATATCAAACTACAAACATGGATTATGTGGAATGCTCATAAATAAACTGAAATGAAAGAATAACATAATGTAAGTTACTGCAGCAAATAAAAACTGTGTAGTACATGCCTGGATCTCAAAACACATTCATAGTTGTTTACTGCCACTTGGCAAACACTGTAGTTGAATGTCCAGCAACATTAATTTTCAGAAACTCTACAGTACATCCAACCTTTAATTTTACAAGAAAAGCATAACACACATGTATTGTACTAGACAATTAAAACGTTTTATTAATCCATTTATCTGTACTGTTAAAGAAATAGGATTCTGGTGAAAACTTTAATGAATGTTCCTCTTCGTTTACTTCCAAGATACTATTCCCGACAGCAAATTACATCTTTTGCTCTTGAATGATATTCTCCAAAAGCACTAAGAAGTTCAACTACATTTCAAAGAATGACTTCTGCAAACATCCTCAAAATTCCTGCATTCCCTGTACCACATTCTGTAAATTGATTTTTTATCTACCACATTGATAAAGATGCATGAACTTACTTCTAGAGAACATACGTGATTTTGTATGGTAAATAACAAAACACCAGCTTAAACATCATCACACAAGAAGTGGTAACAAGAATTAACAGACCAAATTTTATCATAGCTCCTACTGTCCCAACAGCAAGGGTGTCATTCCATAACATGAAGAATTTTCCAGCAGTAAAGAACTGATTGTCTATACCACCACACCATTTCACAAGAGCAGAGGAAGGCAAAATTAGAATACAACTTTTCATTTCATGCTGCAGTTTAATTAGGAAGGAAAATATTGTCTGGAACTCATCACTGAGAAGATTAATTTATAATTTCATTGTTTCAATTATTAACTTTTATGTTGCGCAGAACTTACTAAATTTATACAAAAATCTCAATATACAAAAGACTATGAAGCATTTCGAGTATATTTTCCCACTACTTATCAGAAAACAAGGAAGGCACTAGGTGGATGATACTACATGTCAAAGAGAAAGAACTTAAGAGCTTTTTTACTCTGCAAGTGACTGCACTTGGCACAGATTGTCTAGAGAGGTTGTGGAGTCTCCCTCATGGAACATACTCAAGAGCTGTCTGGATGCAATCCTGTGCCATGTGCTCAGGATTGACCCTGCTTGAGCAAGGAGGTTGGACACACTTACGGTATAGTCCCTTAAACCCTTACCCAGTCTCTGATTCTGTCTGTGAAAGACTGTAAAAATAGCACAATTTATCAAAAAACTGAGCTTTTTTCAACATGGCAATACAACTACTCTTCTCTTTTTTTTCTGTGACACCTGTCTTTTCAGAAAATAGTACCAAATACAGGAAACATTTGCATCTTCTCTGCAGTATAATGTGGTAATATTAAGGAATATGTCTAATTATGACCTACTGACATTAAAAGAAAGGAGGAGTATTGTGTTGGCAAAGACCAAAATGTAATAGCACAGCCATTAAAAAAAAAAGCATAGAATAGGATCAAGAGAATTTTACAACCTCAGTCTCAGGTGATAGATGGTAAGTAAAAGAAGAATACATGCAACGTATGGGACGATCAAAAAGAACTCCACTAAGTCTCTGTCAGAACACAAAAACTGTGATACATGAGTAAAGTACAGACTATAACTTAAACTGCTGTTGGAAATCAAAAGCAGCACATCTAAATATGAATTATCCACCAAGGACAAAAAAAAAAGTTGATATTTTGGTCTTGGTTTGCATTTTCTTTTTCAGAA